ATCAATGAATGAATAAAATGTAATTATAAATTATTTGCGAATTAACTTTTGAATAATCGAAGTCGATGACTAACTAGATATTCAAATTCTCTCGTTTTTAAAAAATATCAAATCTATATTCCGAATTTTGGTACGAGTAGTAATAATATGATACAGATATGACATCATTTTATTTTGTAACTAACTTTTTTACGTGAATATAAAGATAAAGATAAGGCGACACACGGGGCTTTTGCGGTCCCTCATTTCAATTACTATCCTTGGTAGAATATATTTCCTTTAATAAAACAAATAAAATTTAATTTTATTATTTTTTTTATAATAATTTATCATATATATATATATATTTTTATTAAAAAACCTTTTTAACAAAATTCTTTTTTTATTTTTTTTTTTTACAGATTTTATATGTTGTGTGATTAGGTTCTTCCGACCTTCCGCCCGAAAGGCTTTGGATTGCTAGTTACAAAAAAATATAGCGAAATATTGTTAGTAGGACTGGACTCTAAATGGATTTCTTGTGGTAAACTAGCTTTTCATATAAATGGACGTTTACTTTTTGAAATTATAAAGTTTATTTCATATTCTTTTATTACTAAAAGCATTGCGAATCACATTTTTTATAAAACTGTGAAGCTTATAGTTAAAAGTCATACCTTTTTTACAGAAAATATAAACAAACTGGACACAGTGATGTTTCAGACTAGACAGAAATTCGTACATAATACAAAATTCTCAAAAAGGATGCAATGTTTTAAAAGACGCAGATTTGCTTTAAAAAAAAATTTTAGTTTATATATTTTTTTTGACAAAGGTTTTAACCACGTGACTGACATTTTATGATTAAAACGCTTGATTAAATTTACTACATACCGACATTTGACCTTAAAATCATAAATAAACCTTTTCACATGTAAAATAATATCTTTTATTTTTAAAGTATGTTTCAATAAGATTATTTATTATTATTTCCACTGGATAAAAAAAAAATAAGATTAAATTGAACTTTATTCGACATTTAAAAATAATATAAATGGATAAACAAATTTATTTCATAGCATTATTATGGATGCGACGGTTCATAAAGGGCGACTCAGAGAACTGATTCATAATTCAACAGATTCTGAGTTTGCACGAGTGTAGAATCATTTACCAATTTTAAAAAATGATTTTTTTTAAATTGATCATCATACTAAAACCGCCATATTTACCTTACCGTAAGGTGATTATAATAGCAGATGAAACGGAATGTCAATCAAAAAAAAAGAAATGGATTTACAAAGGCTTAGAAAAAAATGAGTTTATAGAATTAAATAACAACAAAATTCAATAAACAAAAATTACTGCCTCTTCCGGCGCTCTGTAATAGGCAATCCTATCGTATCGTAAACTAAGAGCGAATCGAAGTGTTTTTTATTAAAATTCTTTTCCATGGTATTCTTTAAAAATATCAGTAGTCTTGCGGCTTGGATGACAAAAATGCTAATTAATTGATCCCTGAAGTCAAAAATGATCATTTGACATATAATTTCCATCAGTTCACAGAAAATTCAATTCCAACAGATCCGCCAGAATTTGACATTGATCGTCAGAGCCGCGGTGATCAAATCATGGCGCAGCCAAAATGTTGACGTTATTAAAATCCCATTAATTACTTAATATTAAAATAATTTTTATTATACAATCTAAAATACTAAGTAAAACTTAATTCTAGACGAAATTTAATTTTAGCAATTGTAAATTTTATGAGACATTAAGTTGCGGGCAATCTATGCTTTTTATATTTTATATTTTATTTTAGGAACAATAAATGATAAGAGGCCATGTAATTTCCACAATACTTTACGTATGATATAAAAGTTGGTTAAGCAATTTTTATCTCATAAAGTGTATTGAATAAGGAATAATTACTAATATGTAACATATTCGATCCATCATTAAAGATTTTTATATTCAGTAAAATTTTGTGGTTTGAAGGAATACTAATTTTGCACTTAATAGGAAATTATCACATACGATATTAGCGTGACGAAATTTTTGCTAAATTTAAATCTTAATTCTGACAAGGTTTTTATTTCGACTGGAGTCAAGTTTAACTAAATCTTCAACCAAATAATTAATGTATACTTGTTGAAATTTAAATTCACTATTTATGTTAGTGCGGTACTTATTTGGGTATTTTGGCAACGAGCGAAATCATTTAAATCTTTCCAATAAAGTATTATTTAAACATTTATAAACATATAAATACAACCAAAAATATATTAAAAACTAACATTTATTACAAATTAGCTGTAATATTTGGTTGTTGGTATAATCATTTCGGTAAAATGATCATCAGTACTAGGGATGGTAACGGTCGGTCATGGCCGGTCAACGGTCGGTCAACGGTCGGTCAGAGGCCTTTGACCGACCGACCGGTTATATTGACCGGTGTACCGGCCCATATAACAATAACTTTATTATCGTGTGATTTTATGATGTTGACTTAAACATCTAATAATATTTGAAGCAGGTATTTTAATATTTCATTTATTTTAGAATTTATTAAATTTTAAAGCATTAATTCAATTATATGGGTGATATGCTATTAAAATTGAGGTACGAGACATAGTAAATCATATGATCCGTACCTCAATTTTAATAAATCACCACCCATCGGTCAAAGAAAATAATTATTAATTTATCTCAATAATTTTTTTACCGTGAATTGAATTAAAATTTTTGCGGAAAGTTTAGCTTTCTTATTATGAGTGCAAAATTTTATTGGTAAAATTTAAATATTACAATCTTGATATTTATTGGTTATGTAATAATTGAAATAATTTAATAATTTATGAATCATATAACTAAAATAATTTGTTTTAATTTTAATTCTCGAATAATTATTCAAGTAATATGAAATGATAAAATTTGATATAATATAACCTTCACTTAAAAATTAAATTTCGAAACTTATAAATAAAAAATTCAAATTTTTAGTTAGCATACTGTATTTCATTAATCATCTAAATATAAAATTAAATAACTTACTGCTTAAATCATCTTGTATATTTAATTGACGATTTAAATCGTTTGTTAACATTTCTAATATGAAAAGTTATTGCAAGAAATTAGTAAAAATTTAAATCAATAATATATAATTTACATATGTACCTTCACTTGAAACATTATTAATATTTGTTTCTGTTTTATTAGGAGAATCCTCATAAGTTGAATTCTTTTCTTCATCTGTTCCATACCCCATTTTTTTAAATTCTTCTAAAACTTTTTTAATACTAGGCCGATTTTCAGGTATAGAATTCCAACATTTTTCATAAAGCTTCTTATAATCTTCAGGGGTCTCTTCTATAACGTTTTCACGATATCCATCAATGATAGAAAGACGAAGCAATACTAAATCGCCTTTATTAATTAATTCCTTAAATGGAGGAACTCCGCTAGAAATTTCCCACATTAATACACCATAACTGTAAATATCTGAAGCTTTTTCATACTTAAACTTTAAATCTAAAAGTTTATTTGGATCCACATATGGAATTCTACCAAAAGTTCCGATATAAATAGTAGAATTTTGTGAATTCATATTTTTTGAAAGACCAAAATCTGTAATTTTAGCATTACCATCATGAA